CTTTGATGTTATCTTTGATGCCCACGCCTTTACTTTCTGTTACGTTTTTCCTGGAAGCATTGAGTCTCCATTTGATGTGCAGAGAGCGTAATCCTGGTAGCTGAAGAACAGCAGGGTGTGTGGTTAAACCCTCGCCCCTCTGATAGCCTCTCTGTTAGAAGAGTTTGTTCTCTAATAACCTTTCCTCGCCACTGTTGTGTTGCTTTGATCAGACGTGGTGTTCCTCAGGGATCTGACTTTGATCCCTGCTCGTATTACAACTTGTACGCAAGCTGCCATGTTACCCTTTACGAAGCAAATTGTTTCTCCCTGTTATTGCTATAGAGATGCAAAGAGTTCTCTCAAAAGTCTTCAATATTTATTTTTTTCTATTAAGATTTATATTACATTTTTCACATTTTATACATAAATGCAGAACAAACATATACAGGCAGCAGACCCCCCCCCCCCTCCGGCCCCCCAATTATTCTCTCACACACAAATGCCTACATACCCCTGCGCACACATTCATATATACATCAACGTAAAGCATGTAGATACACATTTACAACAAATCAGGGTGTCCGTGGGGTCTTAAAAAGTATTAAAAGTTGATAAATCAATTTAGCGAAAATGAAGGCTATTAAAAAGTAGTTTGTTTTCAATAAGTATATCAATTGTCCAAAGAGGTTGTATTCTACAGTTTGCCTGAATGTAATCATTGCGTAGGTGTGTAGTGTGATTCTGTGTAGTTTATTTATGGCATCCCGTTGGATTGGACGTCATCTGAACAGGACATCGCACGCTCACTGCTTGATAGCGCGCGAAGGTCCGTTTACGCCGGTAGTTAAACAACATCGTTATGGGGAAATGCAAGTCTGCGTCCAAATGGTTGGAAGATAAGGAGGAAGGACAATCAATACTGTATATAGTAAATGTGAGGTAAAGTGTGTCGCCAATGTAACCGGTTAGAACTCAAAGTGGCGATGAGGTCTTCAAATATATGGAAAGGGTCTTAAAAAAGGTCTTACATTTGACTTCAGGATTCCTGCATATACCCTGCAAATACATCATATACACGCATACATGTACACATATACAAATATACTTCCTGTCCCTCCCTAGTAGGGCTGTGCGATTATGGCAAAAATCATAATCACGATTATTTTGGTCAATAATTGATATCACGATTATTAAAAACAATTATCCATTTACTTTGAAAACATCCATATACTGTATTGAAAAAACAGTATGTTTTTAACAGTTGATTACCCTGAACTTTAAGTATAATTAAACTGAAAAACCAATAAAAAAATAAAAATTGTAAATTTAAAAAAAAAATGTTGTGTAAACTCTGGCTGATGTGGGCAGTTGCGCAGAATAAGCCTGGCAGCTACAATAAAACCTGTTAAAGTCAGTCTAAGTTCTGCTTTAGTCAGGCCTGGTGGCACAAGAGATGTGTCCCCCAGCAAACAGAGCTGTGGCGATTCTGGTAGAGGTTTTCTGAGCCACCCTTCAAGGTTTTTTAATACCACCTTCCAAAAAGGCAGTACCCTTGGGCAATCCCATAGAGCATGAAGAAATGTGCCCATGTCTCTATTACATTTCCGAAAAAGTCTTCAATATTAAAGGTGGGGTAGGTAATTTTGGAGAAACCAGCTCGAGTGCGCTAGAATTTGAAAATACACAGCCGGAAAAAATCTGCCACTTCCTTACAGAGCCCCTCCTCCAACACACACGAACGCACACATGACCAATGAGGGCACGAGATAAGTTTGTGCACAGATGGAAGGCTGACAGGCAGGTAGGCCATCCAGTTATTTTAGCCAGGCCGGCTAAAATGATTGGACGTGCTTTTTACAGTACTACGGCTTCCACAGATGACATTTTTTTATGGATTTTTTGTCAAAGCACTTCAGATATTCATTGCTATCGGGATGTTAAGAGCATTCCATGGAATATAACAAAAAGTGTATCTCGAGCCGGTTTCTCAAACTTACCTACCCCACCTTTAACTAACTGGACCCCTCGAGTGTTAAAGTTAAAATTGTATTTATCCGTGCTAATGATTGAACTTTTAACCTTTCGCTTAGAGGCCTAATCTCTGAACTGGAGGGACGACTCGTTCAATAAAAACACGACAGACTCTGACAGGTTCATCGACTCTGCTTCACCTCTCCCTGTTATCAGAGCAGGACAATAGTGGCAGCTTATCAAGACATCTGATATCTAAACAAGAAATGTTTTGTTTGACAAAATGTCAACGATACAAGCATACAGTATATAGAACAAAACCTAAGGAAAGAATCAACTATGAGTCCAGTAGAGAATTACAGTCAGCAACATAAAACCACCTAGCTCAAAAGGATCTTCTGTAGGGTGCTAAAGTCTAGCTAGAGCTCTTGTGTTCTCTTCTTGTGGCGCCACCTACTGCTTATCTCAATAAACCCACCCCTTTTTGCCACTGATTGCCGTGTATTAAAATACTAATATTTCCAGTAATATACAAGACAAACTATCCACTAATAACCACATAACAATACTAGACACAAATATACTTTTATTACATTTCCTTTAGATAGTGTTCTACGATATCCGGTTAAAATGTGTCCTACGTTTGGACGGTGAAACCTGGCTAGTGTGTTACTAGTAGAGGAACTAAGGCCCCTAAAAGTTGAGGTACCCCTACCGAAAATAGTGAAAAGGTAGGCTCCTCTGAAGGGGGCCGTGTTGGTCTTATCCCATGTACCTCTGAAAATAATGATCAGAATGTCACACAATTTGGACTAGATGTTCACAGAGAGGCAAAACATACAATAAAGCAAATATAATATCAATACCTTTTACCATCTTTGTAATATTAACACTTAGATACATGAATCATAGGCAGAAATGTTATTTATACAACCATCCGTGTCATAAACTAGACCAGGGGTCGGCAACCTTTTTGATATGAAGTGCCATTTTAAAAAAAAAAATCTTATTAGTGTGCCGACGTTCGTGAACTGTCAACGGGGGGGGAAGCTCGACGTTCGTGAACTGTCAACGGGGGGGGGGAGCTCAACGCTCGTTAACTGTCAGCGAGAGGGTGAGGGGGCGCTCGTGAACTGTCAACTGGAGAGCTGGGGGAGCCTCGCTGCGGGGAAGCTGTGGACCTCTGTCGCCTGTCAGCGCAACTTACATGATGCAGTTTAAACACAGTTAAATAAATAAAGGGCGGTGCCGGCCGCCAGCGAACCGAGCCCGGCCGTCAACGGCCCGCTGGCGACCGGCTCGGTTCGCTGACGGCCGGACGTACTGTGATTCTCCAGAACACACAGTTGGCCAGTCCGCCCCTGTGTAGCATATTATTTTCGTTGACAGATGAGCAGATCGCCACTGGGCTTTCAACTAAAGACACAGCCACGCAAAAGCTGCGGCATGTACAGCTCCTTATGGGTACTGCAATGTGTAAAGTGCGCTACACCCCTGATCGTTTCATCATGGAGGAAAGCAGCAGAAAGTCGACTGGAGTTAAAGAGATCGGGGCCTAGAAGTTATCCTTCTGCGCTGCGTTGCGTGCATGGCTTCCTTCTGCAGGGGGAGACGCGCTCTGCCGGCGGTCTCGTTCAGGATCCGAAAATACAATTTAAATATTTTGCACACTTATTCCTAGTGTGCCACTGGTTACGGTCCCGCGTGCCAATGGGGTTGCCTACCCCTGAACTAGACATATTAAAGTAATGAGGTGTGTGGCGCAGTGGATAGAGCCTCGGTGTTGGGATCAGGGGTTCACAGGTTCAAACCCCACTGCAGTCAGCATGTCGTTGTGTCCCTGAGACACTTCACCCCAAATTGCTCCTGTGGGGATTGCCCACAGTATTGAGTATGTAAGTCGCTTTGGATAAAAGTGTCTAACAAGTGACATGTAATGTAATGTAATGAAAAAACATGGTTGTGCTTTGCTCGGGTTGGGGTATCTCAAAAACTAAAGCCTTTTTGGGGGTTTGTTCCTCTACTCATACCCCTATAAATGATTATTCAAAGATCGGAAATTCAAAGAAAGATAATTCTGTATTCTAGTCATTTCAAGTTTCCTGGATCTTAATACCTACATTTTGAACAATGACTTTCTGTAGACTTAACGAGGATGAAATATAATACTGTTCATTGTGTTGTGTCGGAGGAAATGTTCAGGCAAGTTTTATATCCTGCGTTTCTTTGCTGGTTCAATAATTCATTCGAGTCAGAGAAAGATAGAGGGGGCCTGGAGGAGAGTCTAACAGTGATTTATCGGTGTGAAAAGCTGCTGCTGCTGAACAATAGCAAGTTGTCAGCTTCAGACTCTGAGAGCAAAGAGCTGCCAAGTCTGTGCTCTGAACACAATAAGACTTTCTCTTTGTGATCTTTGCAGAAGTGGGAGGTTGTCTGAAGTAAGCAAACAAAATGTGACCGTGTTCATGGAGAAATGTTGAATGCAGAGTTTGATCTGTTCTTGCTGAAGTATTACACACTAAAGTGAGCATATGCTGCATGCCATCCACTCATCCAGCGGCGTCAGACAGACAGCTGATGAAAACTTTTGTCCCCGATTCAGTTTTCCACCTTGTTGCCTCATTGCTGTTTCATCGTCGTGTCACTTCATGAGAAGAGAGTTGACAGCGTGGAGCTTCTGGGGGAGCAGAGGCGAGGGGGGGGGGGGAGAACTAAAGAGAGAGGAAACATACGGACCTGTCAACACTCAGAGAAATAAATGAAAGGCTGGCACAAAGAGGACAGACACTGGGGGATTTGTTCTCTCAGTGCTAGCTTTGATTCCTATATGCCATGACTCTGATTGCTGATGATATTAGTCACATAGTCATTTAAGACATTTGATATCTTATATGAGTGCTTCAGGCTGTCCTTGTGAACCCTGAATCTTCTATGAACTGAACGTGGGTGGGATCAGACACGATGTTTGGTCGAATGATGGACAGCTCCCAGATGTTTTGGAGGATGGATGGATGGATGTTTATTCAGCGTGTTTCTGTGTTTCTCAGGAGGCACAGCGTCCAGGCAGAAGGGCTTCCGGGGTTGTATCCGCTCCCTGCAGCTGAACGGCGTCCCCCTGGACCTGGAGGAGCGGGCGGAGATCACCCCCGGGGTCCAGCCCGGCTGCCCGGGTCACTGCAGCAGCTACGGCTCGCTCTGCCAGAACCAGGGCCGCTGTGTGGAGAGAGCCAGCGGCTTCCACTGCGACTGCGGCCTGTCGGCGCACACTGGAGCCTTCTGCCATACAGGTACATGCGCACACACACACATATGTTTTCCTGTGGCTGGTGAAGCCACTCCACCAGCTACGTTAGCAGAAAACCATATAAGGTTCTGCAGGTTACAGAAGTCAAGGGAATGAAACTAAGTAAGTAAGTAAGTAAAACTTTATTTATATAGCACCCTTCTCAAAACGGATGTACAAAGTGCTTTACTAGGGATGCTCCGATCGATCGGTCACCGATCGAGATCTGCCGATACTCACTCTCTACCGATCGATCGGTGCTCTCTAAACATGCCGATCGCGAGAGCCGATCGCATGACGTAAAATACATGACACTTTTCTCTGTGCGCGGCAAAACAAGCTCGCCAAAATGGCTTCACCGGTCTGGCATTATTTTAAGGTGTCCGAAAAAGACAGTAAAATAGCGGTATGCAACGTGTGTGTGAAGCAGAAATCCTGCAGCTCCACTGCTGTGACGGACCGGTGAGCGGAGCGAAACACACAAGAGTTAGACCTAACACACTTAGCTATTTTATCTACCTCTGGAACAAGCTAAACTAGTTATAAATATGTTTATTCTTCACTGTCGGCCTCACACATTACTGGATCAGCGAGCTGCATGAGACGATACTGACGGGCTGTCAGGAGAGAGAGAGAGAGAGAGGGGGGAGAGAGGGGGGGAGAGAGAGGGGGAGAGAGAGGGAGAGAGAGAGGGAGAGAGAGGAAAAGAGAGCGCTTGCTCATTTCTCCCGTGGTATTATCCAAAGTTAATGTAAACTTGAATAATATACATAATTTGAATGTAATAATTAAGTTGATTGTTGTTTGTGGAAGCTCCAGTGAATGAGCCCCATTAACTGAGTTTTAAACATCACTTTAAATGGAAGATTTAAAGTGATGTTTAAATCTTCCATTTAGGCCCCGCCCACTCGATCGGATCGGCGATCGGTATCGGCAGATACTGATTCCGGCGATCGGTATCGGCAGATACTGATTCCGGCGATCGGCGATCGGCGATCGGCCCCAAAATTGGCGATCGGAGCATCCCTATGCTTTACAGTACAGTACACAGGACACAATTCAAAGTACAACTATAACATGTAGAATAAAAGGCATAAAACAGCAGCAGGTAATACATAGGATAAGACATACGATAAAACACCAATAAAAGACAGCTACTAACTCACCTCCTCCGACGACCCAAAGGCCTGTCGGAAAAGGTGGGTCTTTAACTGCCCCTTAAAAATCTCTATTGAGGCAGAGGCTCTTAGTGTCTGGGGGAGTGTGTTCCAAAGCCTTGGGGCCACCACCTCAAAGGCACGGTCCCCCTTGCTGTTGTCTTCCTGTCACTGTGCAACGTTTGTCCTGGTTTGACTGTTTATAACGCATCATCACACAACATGTGTTTTAAATCAGTGTTATCAAAGAGTTGTTCATATCAAAGTTATGTCTGAAACAGACAACAAAATGTTAAACAGCAGAACATAATACCACCAGGTGCTATATATTTATATAAAACACACATCATTCAATGACATTAGTGATTATTTTTCTTCCAGAGAACTCTATCCATGTTATTTCTTTTGGCAATTAGATAAAATAAGATGTTATACCAACATACATTTTTCTGAAACGGGTACGTTTTGACCCGAGGACAACAGGAAGATTCAAGCATGGAGAAAAAATGACAAGTATTTGCCACTGAAAGTTGGATTTTTGGTGTTGGTTTGCCTTTAATGTTGCCCACTGCCTGGACCTCTCTCTAGTAGACCCGTCTAAACACTTTACAACATGTCATTTTCCATCCCCTTTCTCTGCTTTGCAATTCCTGCATTCGCTCCTGATTTATCCCAGCAGCTGAGGTTGAGATTGTTTTGATGTCTTATTTCAGCTTGTAGTTCCCGTAGCAAACGAGTCTCTGCAGAATATTCTCTGAACAGAGCCTTGAGCTTCTGTAAATATGACTTCTAATAATTATGTTAGACAATAGGCAGTTGAAATAAGATTCATTCCCTTCAAGCACATTCAGAAATACAAATAAAATGTCTGGGTGTTTATCTGCTGTTGTCTAACGGATAAGGATCTATTACTATACTCTACATTCATCATATAGAGTCTGTTTTAGAGCTTTTCAAATAGCGATTGAACTTGAATCAAAGCCCCAGTGGCCAAATGGATGAGGTCTCCATGATTCAGATCCTGTACATTCTGTATCTCTTTCCTCCAGAGTTGTCGGCCAGCTTCCAGTCGGGCACGTCGCTGCGCTACACCTTCAAGGAGCCGTACGAGTTGAGCAGGAACAGCAGTGCCCTGCCGTCCTCCATCTACTCGGACCTGACGCTGAGAGGAGAGAACGTCTCGCTGAGCTTCAGGACCAATCAGAGCCCGGCTCTGCTGCTCTACGTCAGCTCCTACTACACCCAGTACCTGGCCCTGCTCATCAACAAGCACGGTGAGGGGGCGCTCTCATTTTCAAGGAGCTTGTGATTCACGTGGCTCTTAAAGCTCAACATGGAGGGTCTTTCATAATGCCTCATCCCATGCCTCTTATTTTCTTCTCCTTTGAGGGTTTCATTTATTTATTTTAGAACAAGGTTATTCAAACTCATGTTCCTCAAATCTCATTTTCCTCTGAGTCTGCTTTGCCTCGTTTCTCTTGTCTTTTTTTATCCACATTTTTCAAACCTCTCGTCTATTCATGAGATTTCCTCCTTTTTCAATTACCGTCTGCATCTCCTCCGAGCCTCTCATCTAACTTCTCCTCCTCTCCTTCTTCCTCTCTCCTCGTCCTCCTCTGCAGTTTTACCAGATCAGGCTCTGTCAGATAGGACTGTGCAATTAATCGTATTTTAATCGCAATTACGATTTTGGCCAGCCACAATTACGAAAACAACATAATCGAAAAAAACAAATATTTAGCTTTGCTAGGTTGTGACAGTGCACTGCAACATATTTGATCTAATTTATTTGTATTTATCATATTTATATATGTTTAGTAGCTTGGGGAAGTGCGCTCCAAAATATTTGTTGATCTTGTTTATTGGTATTTATTATTTTGATATTATTTATTTAAATGTATCATTTATTTTTGTATTGGTTTTTCAGTTGAATTATACGTTCAGGGTAATCAACAGTTAAAAAGACACTGTTCAAATTATTATTTGTATTTGTTTTAAAGTTCAATAAATGGATTTTTTCAAAGTCAATGAATAATCGTATTTAATAATCGTGATATCAATTATTGACCCAAATAATCGTGATTATGATTTTTGCCATAATCGCACAGCCCTACTGTCAGATCTTTCCTCTCTCTGGTTTCACCCCGTCAGACTCTTTTTAATCCGTGCAGCTGATGCTTTGTCTCAAACTGAAACTCCTCTCATACTGAGGCATCAAAGTGTTCTTCTCTGCTAATGGGTGGCAGAAAACTTGCTGATTTGTTTTACAAACGTTGGTGTTCAATAATGATGTTGTGAGTTTGGCTTTTTGGAGTAGTAGGAGCCACTTCATTTGAAATTACATTTGACGAGAGAGAGCTGGCACTTTGCTGCCTGATTGGCTGTTAATGGATTTGTTCTGGTGTTAATGAGAGAAAGCTGATGGACA